ACAGTTTGTACTCACACCTACACCATTACTCACTCAGGCTTTTCTTTCAATTTCTGGTAAAGACAATGTCTCATCCAACCTTCTGTTCTGAATGTTGTTTTTTTGGTGTTTGTTCTGATGTTGTTTCGTTATTTTAGACATGTCCAGTAAATCAGAGCATTCTGTCACGACAGATAACGATGACTTAAACGTGGGTGCAAGTCTAATACCAAAATCTGTTGCATAAGCTCTGTGAGAAACTTGATTTCTTTACTCAACGTTCCAACAGTAGCCCCACTGCCATGCTATTTTATGTCTTATCTAGCTCATGAAATTAATGGTAGAGCAGTTTTTGGGTTCATCTTTTTATTCAAATGTAGCTGTTTGTGGTACTTCTTCTTCTTCTTTGTCTACTTCTTCTTCTTCTTCTTCTGGAATTGTACATTTAAGTTATCGTCTGTGTCAAATGAAGGAGTTTTGCTTTGAGACATTCCCATTTAATACAGCTACAGTTATCATCTGGTAACTCAATGGGAAAAACTGTGAAAAAGCTCCATCCAGGATTCATCACTAATTAAATTATTTGCATTATTTAGCACATGTAGCACATGTATGCTACTGTAGACATTGTCTACAGCCTGAGCAATATGGCTCCCTATTTGCTTTCATCAAATTTTTATATGTTTGAGAACTGTTTTCTTTTGTTTGTTTTGTTCTTTCTTTCTTTTGTTTTGAGAAAGAAACACTCCCGCTTTGTAGTATTTCATGTATAGAAGCACAGACTGAGATCATTTAATGAAACATAGTCACAAAAAACAATGTAGGGTACTTATCTGCCCTATGGGTATGCATATTTATACTACTGTCTAAACTGTACCTATAGTGTATACACCATATTCAAATCCAGCTGTTTATTCTCTATATAATGTCTACTACGAGCATTTACACCCGTATTGTTTACTGTTAATATTCTATATATCTTATCTCAACATACATATGTACATCATTCTGCTCATTCAGTTAGATGCTAAACTTCATTTTGTTATCTCGGTACTTGCAGACTTCTCTGTACAATGACAATAAATTTGAATCTACAAGTCAATAAAAAAAATACTATTCTGCATGAGGATGAATTAAGCAGTCTCACAGACTGAGAGGCATTGTCCGGCAAATTTTAGGGATTGACAGTTTGTACCCACACCTACACCATTACTCACTCAGGCTTTTCTTTCAATTGCTGGTAAAGACAATGTCTCATCCA